GTTGACCTCTCCTTTAAAGTCCTTAAAGTTATTATTGATAGATCCTTATTTACTGCCACTTTAATTCTTTATGCTGATGTTTCTCTCTCTATTTCTTCTTATTATTACAGCAGTACCTTTAACATTTCTTGCAATGCTGGGTGGTGGTGACAAACCTCTTTAGCTTTTTTTTTTTTGTCTGGGAAGGTCTTTATTTCACCATCTCTCTTGAATGATAGCCTTGCTAGATAGAGTAGTCTTGGTTTCAGATCCTTGTTTTGCATTGCCTTGAATACTTCATGCCATTCCCTTCTGGCCTGTAGTTTCTGATGAGAAGTCAGATGACAGCCTTATGGGAGCTCCTCTGTAGGTAACAGAGTGCTTTTCTCTTGTTGCCTTTAATATCCTCTCTTTGTCTTGAAGTTTTGTCATTTTAATTATGATGTGTCTGGGCATGGGCTTCTTTGGATTCTTCTTTCTTGGGACTCTCTGTGGCTCCTGAATTTGTGTGATTTTTTCCTTGAACAGATTAGGGAAATTTTCTGCCATTGTTTCTTCAAACAAATTCTCTATCCCTTGCTTTTTCTCCTCCCCTCTGGTACTTCTATAATGCGAATATTGTTATATTTCATGTTATTCGACAGCTCCCTTAGACAATCCTCTTTTTAATTGTTTTTTCTTTTTGGAACTCTGATTGAGTGATTTTTTTCTACCCTGTCTTCTCATTCACTGATCCTATCCTCAGCTTCCTCTAATCTGCTCTTTATTCCTTCCAGTGTATTCATTATTCCTGCTATGTCATTCTTCATTTCCTTCATGGCTTCCATATCTTTTTTCATGCTGTTGAGCATCCTTAAAATCAGTATTCTGAACTCTATATCTCAAAAATTGCTTATCTCCATTTCATTTAGCTCTTTTTCTGGAGACTTCTCTTGTTCTTTCATTTGGGGCTTGTAATTTTTTCTCCCTATTTTGGCTGCCTATTTGGGTTTGTTTCTATGTATTAGGTTGGCCTACTAGGACTCACAGTCTTTTTGGACCATCTCTGGTGCAGGCCAATGTCAGATGCAGTTTGTGATCGGCTTTGAGTGCCCTGTTTGGAGCTATCAACAACTGATGGCTTGAGGTCCCCTTTGTTGGGACTGGGTACAGTTGGACAGGACCAAGATGCACACCAAAGTCTGCTTTTCCAAGGCCCAGGTCCATAAGCAGATCAGGCAAAGACTCAAAGCACTCTGAGGTCTCCCTCTGCCTGCAAGCTGATTCATCTGATTCTCTTAATGAGCCTCAGACTGTAGAAACTCCTTAGGATAGGGCAAGAGGTTTTTCAGCAGAGTGGGGCAATTGCTTCCCCCTCCAGGCAAAAGCTGCTTGGAAGGTAAATGTCTGCCTCTGCAGTATGGGGGAATGACTCCGCACAGGGATCCAGAGGGATGCCCTCTGAGCTCTATCTCCAGAACTTACAATCCTAGATTCTCCTCACACAGCTCTGCCCTCCCTCTGCTGGAGTCCAAGGTGAGTGGTTTCACACAAAACTTAGTGCATTGGCTCTTTAAGACCGTGCTTGCATTTTCAGCCATCTCCCCATGGTAGACAGATACCTAGCTGCTTTTCACAGCCAGATTTTATGTGGGCACATTTCTCAGTTTTGGTGCTCTTGGCTGGGATGCCCAGCCTGGGTTTAGGCCCCAGAGTCCTCAGTGGGAATCCCCCACAGCTGAGCTATCCCTCCAGACCTTCAGCTGCTGCCTGTGGGAGTCCAGCCAGCCCTCTCGTGTCTTTGCACTTCCTACCAGTCTCTATGTGGTCTCCACTTTTCCTCATTGGTTATGAGGGTGCTCTCCAGCTCTTCTTCAGTTGCAGTTGATTATTCAGGATGGTTTTTTATATTTTAGTTGTAATTCCAGTTTGGTTCTGGGAGAGTGTCAGTGTAACTTCCACTCAATCTGTCACCATCTTTAATCTCCCCACAGATGCTTACTTTTTTAATTGTAATTTTAAAAGCTATCTTACTACATGTATAAAATTTCGATTTATATGACCCCTTCAGGAAGACTCTTATTGTACAAAGTAAAATATGTTAATAGTATGTAAAATAAGGAAGACTTTTAAATTAAAGTTACAGTTAAGCTCCTCTGAATTCCAGTGAAAAACGATACCATTGACTTCTTTGGGACAATGAATTAGAAAAGGGCCCATTGGCATGAAAAGCAATTAAAGGTTAATCTCTAATTATCTTTAGTTCTTCCCAGAATTTCCTTCAATTACTTGATGACCTGTGGTTAGAGGAAAGTACATCATATCTTTTTGATGAAATGAACAGGTACCTGAATATATTGGGTCAGTTACTTTCCTGCCTTCTTAACTTATTCTCTAAGACCAAGTAGAGAAGATGGGCAATTACTTTTCATATTTAGCTGAATTGTGGCTGAGGCTTAAAAATAGTTATGAAATAAATATAAGGCATAAACTAGGTTTTTTAGTGTCCTCAAGTATTCATAATGTATTTTGTAAAAAAAAAAAAAAAAAAGTTTGAAATCTTGAAGAATTGGCTGGCAGCTGCAGAACATTCTTTAGCATTTCCCTAAGATTTTCCAGTGGATTTACTAATAAACATTTAATTGATAGAGAGCAAATCTAGACACCTATTTGTCCTTAGGAGAAATAGGTGGGGCCTGATTTATCCAGTTGGAAAACCTAATGGCAGGTTCTCTTTGTATTAATTGTATAACAAAGGCATGAATGAATAAAGCAATCAACTTGGAGCATGACAATTATGTGGAAGTTCAATCCTAGTCTCATCTCATCCTCTAATAAGTTCCTTTCTATTTCCCTTTACCAGTTTTCTACAAAGCTAAAAATTGATCCTGGTGCTTTCATTCTTGCTATGTAGGACTCTTAAACTTTCTGCTTCCCCTCTGATGTGACTCTCCTTTGAAATGGTAACAATACCTGCCATCACACAGACATAAACCACAAGAAGTAACAATTCTCTATGTACATGGGCACTCTCAGTTCATAGTAAGGCACCAGGGTTCTGCTAAGAGGAATATACACTAGTAAAGAGTGCAATAAATAAGAAGGAGATGACAGTGGGAGTATAAGAGAACAAAGAACAGTTTAAAGAGAAGCAAGGGACACACTGAGTCCTTTGACTTGTTTGGTAGTTGGATATCAAGGAGCTTCTTTTTCTATCTGGGTTAGAAAGGCTATGTCCCCAAGGAAGAATAAGACAATGGTTGGGCTCTAGGCGGTTATGTAGTTGCCTTTGACTCTACTTTTTAACCCTGTTTATAGGTAGGCCAAATATTCTGGTTCTATTTTATCTATGAGGAACCAGAGGTCTAAACAGGTAAGACCGCTTTTCTCAAGTAGTTCTTGGCTACTTAGTGGTAGATTTTATATATAAACTCATTTTTGAGTTCCACATTATTGCTATTTCCATAAAGCCCTTGACTGAAAGAGATGGATGTGTGTGCAAATCATAAACTTCTTATCCCAAAAGATTCAAGGTGACTTAGAGATGCTAACTGGCTGATTAGCTAGCACTTATTTTTCTTAATAAAACATATAATGTGAGAATTCAATGTTGCCCACTAAAAAACTTGAGTGGGTTTCCCACATAAATGTACATTCTCCCAAAACCAATAAACCACGATCAGATATGTTTGGAAAGCATAAGTGTGTTTGCCATTCTCAATTAACAGGAAGTTGAGCTTCTGAGAAACACATAAGTACCCTATATCCAGGAGGCCAAGTTGGTAATTTAAAACTCTCACACATATCCCAGTAATATGATGCTATAGCATTTCCTGGCTCAGTAGTACAAGAATGCCAAAACTTTCTTTGTAATTTCACCCAATTCTAGAATCAAAATCTTTTCCCCATGGAAAGAATATAAGGGTAGGTTTGGGGAATACATTTAAAGTGTTTGATAAATCCAGAATTAGTCAAACAATTAGATTTTTCATACCTTACATTTTATAGCTTCTTGATCTACCAAAGTATGTTATTATTCAATACTACCTGTTTCATTTGGATAAGCTTTGTCTCCTGAGATACATTATAAATAAAACAGGAACCCACTACTAACTAGAAGAATCATAAAGCTGTTTATCAATACCATTCTAATATAACTAGAAATGTTTTCTGAATGTGACTATGTAAGTGGAAAAAGTTATTTTAATGTCCCTGAGAGCATATTTATTAAGACGCAAAAGGTTGAAAGTTTTTGAATACCAAAGAGTTGACTTCAGGGGAGAAAGGTAAGAAAAAGATATATTGATAAGAACAAGGATTCTGATTTTGGCTCACAGAATACTTTGATAGATCACCAAAATCTAAATCACCAACGTCTACTAGAAAAGAATTTTCTTTGCCTGATCTTATTCTAGAGCCAGAAAATTATTGGAGTCATAGAGACCATTTTTTAAAGGCAGTTTAAAAGCTTCAAGTAGAAAGCATCTTCACAGTCCTTCATGTATTTAAGTACTATGCCAGATATCTGAAAACTTTTAAGCTTGGAAACTTGTTGGTTTCCTTTCCACTATTATTCTTCAAATAGAAAAGGGTAGTCCTTATTTGGCCCATATATAATTGCAGTGTTTCTTAGAATCATAATGGGGGAAACACCAGTCCAAAATACCGTGTAGAAGGTGAGAAAAAGCACCTTGCTAAGGCCAATTTTAGGTAAAATTTGCTCTTTGTCCTACCATCTCCTTTGTTGCTACTCAGCTAGAGTGCTCTATGCTTTATGGATTTACTCAGTCCTTCATCTGCAGTCAACACTTACTTGTTCAAGTAACCATTTCTTCTAGGCCCTGGTTTCTGACAGATGCTAGTGTTCAAATATAATAATTGACTCTATGTGAATATGTGAAAAGGCATAAATATGTTGTCACTTCCAGGCAAGAACATTTCAGTGGTGGCCTTCTAAAGATAATAATACAACACAAAGGGATTAGTTTAAGGAAAAATAAGGGAAGGCTACTTGAGGGCAAATGAGGACTTTCAGTACTCACGCTGTATCTCCACCCCACAGACTTTTGATATTTATTCACTCTCACTCGCCTTCCTATTTCAGGTAAAGGGGTCTGCAAAACCAAGAAAATGTTATTAGAACCACTGGTACACTCTGAAAATAATTTATTTGTTAGTACTTTGTGCTCATTTAGCACTAAATAGAAGAGAAACATAATATTACATCTCTCATTTTTTTGCTAATAGTTTTAACTAAAAAATTGTAATCTTATATATGCAGAAATTTGGCACCAAATTAACAATAACAGATTTAACTGCCATATTAATGGGAAAATTACAATTTGGTGTTAATAAAGTGACATTTCCCCTTAAAAAACAAGGTAAATGACACTAGGAATGGATTGAATATGATTTTTAAATATTTCAAAAGTTAGAGTACCTAAAAAGTAAATTAAATGTGGGTCAAGGTCTCTCAAGTTAAAACAAGACAATAGGGAGTCTCACTCAAATAGTACTAGGGTGATTATTGGAAAGTCAGGTTTGTTGGTCAAAATAAATCCACAAATCAAAATCCCTTGAAACTCACTTTGGTTTGCAACATTTGACATTTACTGGCAAAACAAAAAGCATGCAACTCTTTAAATAGCTTTAGCAATTCACTCCCTGAACAAATTATACAAGAACAGTTTATGACATAGACAACAGTTCAGTGAATATGTATATTTTTCAAACATAATATCTGAGAATTTTCTTTTAGGATATAATAAAGTGAAAATTTTTTGACCTTTGCTATGTTCATGCTAATATTATCTTTAAAAAGTGAGGCACTCATGCTAAAGAAAGAGGACAGAAATCAGTGCTTATCAATTTCTATGACAACAATGTTATAAACCATGACTCAACTTTATGAATGTTAACAGGAACAGTGTCAAACTGTATCTCTTGCTCATCTGTCAGAAAATATAAGAAAAACGTATATCTCAGACAAGTTCTTTCCTTCTACCTGTCATCAAGAATCTAAATGCCTCAATTCTTAAATGGAATAGTTGGAGAGAGAAAAGAATATGATAGAACACAGAAGGGTTAAGACAATATTAGAAGAAATCTCCTCTTTTCTATCCCTGGAAAGAGATAATCAACTAGAACTAGATATAACAACAGATAATTTCTTCATTCTTATAGAATACCAAACTAAAAGCATTTTTTTACCTGTAAATATAATAAATTAATAATAAAGATAATATACTAATGGGTAGAAAAATATTAAATGATAAATATAATAAATCCAGGTTAACTTAATTATAATTGTACATACTAATGATTTAAAAATAAAACAATATTTTTTGAGCCATTTATTCTTAGACCATAGTCCATTAAGGGAATAAAATATAGACAAGATATAATATTACCTTACGAGCATTCATCACTTTAACAGCTGTAAATGCACCAGTTTTTTCATGGAGTCCCTGAAATACAACATAGTAACAAACATTAAATGCTGTCAATATAATCAAGAAACCAAGCAACAAAGTGAAAAATTTTATGATAAAATAAGGTCAAAAACTATAGCCTATCACGAAATATAAAATACTATATAGGAAGTAAATATAAAGTATTATATAGAGAACAGAAACATTAAATATGAACATTTTAAAGAAAAACAAAACATTTCACTCAAAAAAATCATGAAAGTTTATGTAGTTTTGTGTGTTTTTTTCCTTTTTATTGTAGTATTGTTGACATACAAAATTAAATTAGTTTCAGGTGTACAAAATAGTGATTTGACATTTATATACCTTATGAAGTGATCACCATGATAAGTCTAGTCACCATGTGTTACCACACAAAGTTCTTACAATATTATTGATTATATTCCCTATATTGTACATTATGTCCCAGTGACTTATTTCTTTTATAATTGGGAGTTTTTATCTCTTAATCCCCTTCATCTTTTTTTACCCAGTCCTACAAGCCCCTTCTACTCTGGCAGCCATCAATTTATTCTCTGTATCTATGAATCTGTTCCTATTTTGTTTTGTCTGTTTTGTTCTTTTATAGATTCCACATATAACTGAAATCATATGGTATTAAGTCTTTCCCTGTCTGACTTATTTCACTAGCATAATACCCTCTAGGTCCATCTGTTTTGTTGCAAATGGTAAGATTTCATTCTTTCTCTTGGCTGAGTAATATTTCACTATATATATGTTTACGCATACCTTTATCCATTCATCTATTGATGAACACTTAGGTTACTTCCGTATCTTGGATATTGTAAATAATGCTGCCATAGACAAGCATGCATGTATCTTTTCTAATTAATGGTTTTTGTTTTCTTCAGATAAAATACCCAGAAGCGGAATTCATGGGTGGTATGGTAGTTTACTTCAAATAATTTACTTTATTATTTCCTTCCTTCTACTTACTTTGGACTTTATTTTTAATTTTTGGAGGAACCTCCATAATGTTTCTGTAGTGGCTGCACAATAAACAAACCCATCAACAGTGTATGAGGGTTTTCTTTTCTTTTCATTCTCACCAACACTTGTTATTTGTTGTCTATTTTATAATAGCCATTCTGACAGGTGTGAGGTGATATCTCATTGTCATGTTGATTTGCATTTTCTTGAATATTAGTGACGCTGAGCTTCTTTTCATGTCTGTTAGCCATCTATGTGTCTTCTTTGGAAAAATGTCTATTCACGTACTCTGCCCATTTTTCAATCATGTTCTTTGTTTTTTTATGTTGAGCTTTTTAAAAGTTCTTTTTCTATTTTGAATATCAACCCCTGATCACATGTGTCATATGCAAATATCTTCTCCCATTCAGTAGGTTGCCTTTTCATATTGTTGATGTTTTCCTTTGCTGTGCAAAGGATTTTTTGTTTCATGAATTCTTATTTGATAATTTTTGTTTTTGTTGTCCTTGCCTGAGGAGTCATATTTAAAAAAAATATTTCTAAGGCTGATGTCAAAGATTTTAATATGTGTTTTCTTTTTAGGAGTGTTATGGTATCAGGTCTCACATTTAAATATTTAATCCATTTTGAATTTATTTTTGTATATGGGGTAAGGCAGTAGTCCAGTTTAATTGTTTTTGCACATAGCTGTCCTATTTTCCCAACACCATTTCTTGAACAGACTGCTTTATCTCCATTGTGTATTCTTTCCTACTTTATCATAGATTAATTGGTCATATAAGCATGGATTTATTTCTGGGTTTTCTATTCTGTTCCATTGATCTATATATCTTTGTCAGTACCTTACTTCTTTGATTACTGTACTTTGTAGAATTTGAACATGTCTCCAGCTTTGTTCTCTCTCATGATTGCTTTGGCTATTTGGGATGTTTTCTGCTACATACAAATTTTAGGATGGATTGTTTTAGTTCTGTGAAAAATGCCATTGGGACTGCATAAGGACTGCATTTAATCTTTAGATTGTTTTGAGTGGTATTAACATTTTAACTATATTAATTCTTCCAATCCATGAGCATAGTATATCTTTCCATTTACTTGTGTCATCGACAATATCTTTCATCAATGTCTTATAGTTTTCAGAATACAGATCTTTTACCTCCTTGGTTAAATTTAATTCTATATACTTTATTATTTTTATGCAATTGTAAATAATTTTTTTTAATTATATTTATTGTTGAAAGCATTACAGATGTCCCTCTTTTTCCCCATTGACACCCCCCACACACACACCTGCCCCTTCCCAGGCCTTCTCCACACTATTGTCCATGGGTACGCATATATGCATATAAGTTCTTTGATTAATCTCTCCCACCCACAACCCCACCC